ATAAATATATTTGCATATGTACATGCCTTTATTTAGACCTCTATAAATGCCTTTTGCCTCCTAGCTCTTTCCTCTATTTCCTTTTACTTTCCTCTTGTCCCACTATCATGCTCCGTCTTCATTTGGGTTTCAGTAATTCCTCTTGGTTACATAACTCTTGATCACGCCCTACCAGGCCTCCTACACCCTCCTAACCACGATTTGGATCACTTGTTGTTCCCTTGTCCCTGGGTTTGTTAACACCACTTCCTTTCCCCGCACCTCCCCCTCTCCCATGTCCCCTTGGAACTGTTGGTCCCATTGTTTTCTCCTCCAGGTTGTTCATCCAGCCTATCTTATTTAGACAGACCTGCAATCTGCCTTTTATTGTCCCAAAATTGAATTGTTTCTACTCTTTTGCTATTAAAAATACCACCTTAATTCTTGGGGAAGAAAGATACAGCTGTCTGGTCCTTCAAAGGTTTACAGTCTCAGAAACCCACCGGGGCAGTTCTGCTCTGTCCTATTGGGTCACTGTGAGTCAGAATTGACTCGGTGGCATGAGTTTGAGGGCTTTGTTTTGTGTTTGTCTTAATGAGCTAGGCAGATTATTTATTTATTTAACTAATTAAGCTAAGCCATTGCTTGTTTCTTGCTGTTGTTTTTTTACAATAATTTTACTAGAGGCTCATATAATTCATCACAAACCATACATACATCAATTGGTTAAAGAATATTTGTACAGTTATTGCTATCATCATTCTCAAAACATTTGCTCTCCACTTAAGCCCCTGGCATCAGCTCCTCATTTTCCCCCCTCCCTCCCCGCTCCCTGTTTGTTTTTTGAAGAAGACTTTAGGGGATATTTTTCATTTAAGGTTTAAAGATTGTATCAGGACAATCATTTCTGGGGTTTATCCACCCTTCACAGAAAAGGTGGCAGTTGTTCATGAAGGCATTAACAACACATATCCTCCTTCCAGTCCTGACTCTCCTTTTCTGTTGTTTTGTGATTCCAAGTGAATAGCGACCAATAGAACTACTTCCATGGGATCAGAAATAAGTATCTGAATGGGATGAAATGGAAAGATGTGATAGGAACCTCAAGGGGAAGTGAATTTATGTTAATGAGGGAGGAACGACTCAGAACAGGAGGGTGAGAATGGTTGCTCTACTCTCAGAGTTAATCTGCGTCACTGATTTGTGCATGTGGAAATGATAGAGTTGAAGGATATTTTGCTGTGTATGTTATCAAGAACAACACAAATACAATTTTAAATACTGTTTATGCCTATGTTTGTTTGTTTTTTGTTTCTGCCTGTCTGATTTTATGACAGATTTCTAGAAGTGAGGTTACTCATGCAAATGGATATGTAACTTTGCCAAACTCCTTTCCCTGGAGTTGTAACCACTCTGTGCTCTAAACCATGATGGATATACTATGCATCACAATACCATACACAACGCAGTGTATTTTCAAACTTCTGATTTTCCTTACTTGATAGGTGGGGAATGGTATAGTCAAGATGGTTTCAATCTACATTTCCCTTAGCATGAGTATGTATGAGGGGGCTGGGTTTTGAAACAGGAAAATAGTGGGCAAGGCCCTGAGATAACCAAGAGCCTAAGCATGCACACAATTATTTTCTAACTTATGTCATAAAGAATGTTCTGGGTGGTGCAAGTGGTTAGCACATTGTTCTTCTTTTTTTTTTTTTTTTTGTTAGAACTCAGCAAAATAAAATTCCGGTTTATTGTTGGACAACATTGCATCACACATCAAACAGGCCAAAAATAAATA